TTTTTCCCTCACGATGACCTGGATACAAAGACAGCCTTTGTATCCAGGTCATTGTTTCCTTTGAGGTGCAGAAGCTTCTTAGTTTAATGTAGTTCCATTTGTTTATCTTTACTTTTACTTGCTTGGTCAGTGGTGTTTCATCCTTGAAGATGCCTTTAGCTTCAACATCATGGAGAGTTCTGCCTATGTTTTCCTTATGTACTGTATGGATTCAGGTCTGACATTAAAGTCTCTAATCCATTTTGATTTTTGTGCATGGAGTTAAAAAGAATGAGTTCATTTTTGCACACCACTGACCAGTTTCCTAGCACCACTTGTTGAAGATAATTTTCTTGCTCCATGTCATATTTTTTCTCCTTTATTAAAGGTTAATGGATTTTATACTTGAGAGTCTATCAGGATATTTAACTCCATTTCATTGATCTTGGTTCTGTCTTTATTCTAATACCATGCTGTTTTAATTACTACCACGTGGTAATTCTTTAGTCCTTTTGGAGAACTTCGAATTGACCATTTTACATTCCTGCAAGTAGTATATTGGGTCCCATAGTATCTCCACATCTTCACCAGCATATATTTTTTTCTTCTTTATTAAAGATTAACAGATTTTATATTTGAGGGTCTATCAGGATATTTAACTCCATTTCATTGATCTTGGGTCTGTTTTTATTCCAATACTATGCTGTTTTAATTATTACCACATGGTAATTCTTTAGTCCTTTGGAGAACTTCAAACTGACCATTTTACATTCCTGCCAGAAGTATATTAGGGTCTACAGTGTCTCCACATCTTCACCAACATTCTTTAATTTGGTTGAAGGTTCCAGGTTACCCTTTTCAAAATGTTGTGGCTACTTACGTTTTTTGGTCTGAAGAAATTTAATACAGTTACAGGCTCATACTTGCAGCTGAAAAAACACCTTTGTCAATGAGTGTGGTAGAATGAAGGAGTGACGCTGGGCTGGATTTGGAGGAGCTGTTGGTCTAGCGGGGTTTGGTGAGGAGGTGCTTGGGACACAGTGGAGAGAGATGCTGTGTTTCATGGCTGTGCAGTGTGTGAGGCGATGTAGATGTGCAGCTGTGTGAGGAGGGAGAATTGTGGACTGGATGGATGCACAGCTGATGTGCCAGGCCTGTGTTCAGACTGAGCCGCCGCACCTCAGAACCTTTCGGCTCAGCCGCAGGCTGGCCCTAAGGAGCCTCCAAGTTGCTGAGGCTTCTCTGGGGGTCGCCTGAGATTTTTTGTGCAGTATCTTTAGAAGTAAAAATATGTATAACCAGTACTGTTTGCCAAGGTTTGCAGTTTGTTGAGCTTCAGCACTACAGTCCTAGATGCCCTTTACTTGGTCTAATCATCTAGTGGTAAGATCATCTTTTCCCATGGGAGAGAATCTAGATTTGTGTAAGGCACCATCAGAGCCAGCAGAGAAATGAAAGCTCTGTAATATCAGCAGTGTGCAGGGGCTGTACCCAGTGCTTCCCCCAGGACAAAATCATTCTTCTACAAGTGCTGTTGTTATGCTGCCTCTCCAAACTTGCTCTCTACACAGGGGCTCTCCCCACCCTCCCATTTCCTGGAGTAGCTGCACCAATGACTAGTCGTGTGTGTGTGTGTGTGTGTGTGTGTGTGTGTGTGTGTGTGTGTGTGTGTAGTGGGTGAGAAAAAAATGGGATTGGGGGGAGGTAAATAAAGTCCCAGACCCTTATTTGAGCATAGATCAAGCCCAAAGGCATGGGCTGGGGAAATGCCTCAAAGAGCATGTGCATCGTGTGAGGAGCTTTGCATCCCCAGCATGGCATAGTACCTCTTGCACTGAGTTGGAAGTAGCGCTGAGGACCACTGAGGTCTCCACAATAAACAAAAAGATTAAAGGCAGTATAGCTCTGCTGCTCCCTGTGAGAGAAAAGGAGATTTTTCTTGGGACTTCCTCAACACTCTTTAGCTCTTTTCTGTTCCTCTAGGGTAAGATTCCCAAAATTTATTTCAGAAGATTGGGGGCCGGAAAGATACTCCAGCCAGTAGAACATTTGCTTTGCACACAGCAAGCTGGAATGTCTGTGAGGCTGAGCCCTGATGGGGGGCCCTCATGGACTCTGTTCCTTCAGCTGTGGTGGTTCTCAGAGCTTCAAAGATAGTTCTTGGGGACCTGGGGGTAGAAATGGGGGATGTCCAGGAATGGCTAGAGCTCCAGGGATTCTGCTGGCCCCAATTCTAGACAAGGTTGATTTTTTTCAAACAAGTGGCACTTGGGATCCATGAAAAGGAATTCCAATTATAAAGGGAAACTGCCGTAACACAGCCAGTGTTGTCTGATTCTTTCCCATATTGGTTGGCTTTTATTTCTTTCCTTCTCTACCTCCTTTCTTTATTCTTTATCGCAGCCTCCCAGTTGGAAAACCTTCCAGTGTTCCATCAGATATTTGTTCAGTGCTTTGTATTGGACACTGTGTAGACACTGACCTACCATTTCTTTATACAATAATAAATAAAGTGAACAAAGGAGTAAGAGTAATAGTACAGGGGGGAGGGCATTTACCTTGCACTTGCCAATGTGGATTCGATCCCTGGCACCACATACCATCCCCAAGCACTGCCAGGAGTAATTCCTGAGTGCAGAGCCAAGAGTAACCCCTGAGCATCTCTGGGTGTGGCCCCCAAACAAAACAAAACAAAAAAGTGGACAAGTGTCCAGAGAGATAATACAGTGTATAAGAGTCTTGCTTTGTATGTGGCTGACCCAGGTTCAGTGTCAGCACCCTGTAAGCCAGGAAGGAGTGAGCCTTGAGCACTGCTGGGTGTGGTCCCAAAACAAAACAAAACAGAAAAAGAAAGCCAACAAGATCCCTGACCCATAGAATTGAGAGCTGGCAGGTTTTACGCTCGATTAGAATTGGAACAAAATTCTGTTGTGTATGGGAATTTCCCCTCTACTCTCCAAATCTCTAGAAAGAGATATATAAGCTATCTAAATTATGTTACCTAGTAGGTATATAACTAGTAAGTAACAATGAAAGGATTATAGACATGGGCATAGTTCATTATATGATCATTAGTATGGTCAGGCAGTAGAATAATGACCTAGAATGATGTTTATCAATATAGACAGATCTTAAACCATAAAGTTATTAAAGTTATAAAAGCATGTAATAAGCTTAGAATAACACAGGATGAAAGCATATTACCTTACAATACAATTCAATATAGTACAGTACATTGAAAAAACAGAATAGAGCAAAATATCACTTTTGTGAACATTTAAAAACATCCATGGGGGGCTGGAGCGATAGCACAGTGGGTAGGGTGTTTGCCGTGCAGACGGTTGACCCAGGTTCAATTCCCAGCATCTCATATGGTCCCTCAAGCACTTCCAGGAGTAATTCCTGAGTTCAAAGCTAGGAGTAACCCCTGTGCATCACTGGATGTGACCCAAAAAGCAAATAAATTAAATAAAAAATAAAAACATCCATGGACCAGAGATAGAGTACAGTTCTGCACATGCCAACCCCTGTTCAGTCCCTGTCACCACATAGGAATAAACCATGAGCACCATCAAGTTGAGCCCAAACCAAAAAGAAACAAACAAAAAAACCCCAAAAAGTACCATCCTGAACAATACTACAAAGTCCATTAACACACACCTATGTATGGTATACAACTGAAACATTATTTAAGGAACAACTTCACATCAGTTTCAAGAAATGAAGCATCTGTTGCTCTCCAAGGTAGAGGGTAAATTAAGGATTTATTAAATCTTGTTAAAGTGAAAATATTTATCAACTGTCAGAAAATGAAGTAATTGTTAAATCTGGTTCTTTTTAAAATATTTAAAATATTTACTGAAAAAGTTTTGAAACGAGTGTTCTGTGCCACTTTTCTATTCCCATAGAATAGAACCTTTTGTGCCATCAGCTGGTGTTCTCTATCATAAATATTGTTCTTCTCTAAAGAAACAGTTACCTGAAGTAGTTTGTGGCAATTCCAGATTGGGGCTTGGTTCAGCTCTCAGGAACGCTATTCCTGACACACCAGCAGAGGGCTCTGCTCTACAGCCAATGTGAGGTGGAACCTTAACACCCAGGACTCTCTCCTGGAGTATATCCAGGCACTCAAAAGCAGGCTCCATGCAGACACAAGAAAGAGTGATACTTAAATCCATGCATCTGTCTTTGTTGGAGCAAAATGCTGGGGGAGAATCCTTTGGCTATTTATATACTTGTTTCTGTAGGTATAGTCTTGGCTATTCATGAGGTTAAGAACACACTATATGGGCTGGAGTGATAGCACAGCGGGTAGGGCATTTGCCTTGCATGCGGCCAACCCAGGTTCGATTGCCAGCATCCCATATGGTCCCCCAAGCATCGCCAGGTGTAATTCCTGAGTACAGAGCCAGGAGTAACCCCTGAGCATCGCTTTTTGACCCAAAAAGCAAAAAAAAAAAAAAAAGAATATAGAATATGTTGGAGAGGTAGTACAGTGGGTAGGACTCTTGCCTATCCAGGTGGCTGACCTGAATTCTATCTCCAGCATCCCATATGGTCCCCCAGATCATCCAGGAGTGATTCCTGAGCATAGAGCCATGACTCAGTGCTGGGTACCACCTGATGTCAGCTGTCCTGCACCACAAAATACAGAAATAGGGCTAGGGAGATAGCTGCAGTGTAGGTGTGCATGCCTTGCATCACAGGGCCATGAATTTTTCATCCCCAGCACCACTGAATGTGTCCCAGAAGACTCCTGAGCACCACCAGGTGGTCCCAAGGGCCCCAGCACCTCTGGGCCCCACATTGCTAAGCCTTGCCATTGAACCATCCAGCCTGGTCTGATGGAGTATTGCCAGGAGCACCACATGAGCACTGCCTGAGAGTCCCCACCCCCTAAATGGAAATGATGTCAGATTCAGCATCGTGTCAGAGCTTCCTTTGGTATTGCATGCTGATGGGGCTGAGGTGGGGATTTTTTTTCTTCTTAAACTGACCTGGAAATTTCTTTTTACTTCTAGGTAGAAAAGGATTATTCTTATCTGAAGGATATATGTGACCATCAAGCAGAACAGCTGAGTAGAACCAGCCTAAAACTGCAAGAGAAAGCATCAGAGAGTGATGCAGAGATAAAAGACATGAAGGAAACCATATTTGAATTGGAAGACCAGGTGGAACAGCACCGGGCTGTCAAATTACATAATAATCAGCTCATCAGTGAGCTAGAAAGTAAGTGAAATGAAATTCTGGTAAGCTGTAAATCAGAAGTGAGTGAGATACAGAGAAACCAATAGTAGTGAGTGACTGTTCAGATACATGTTGCCTGGAGTTTCAGGAAGATCTTCCTGCTGAGTGTTCTGTGACCTATTAAGAATTGCATCCTCAGGACTGAGGAGTAGCTCAACATGTGCCTAGAGTGCTGGAGATCCTGAGTTTAGTCGCTGACACTGAGAAAGAACAAGATTAATAGAATTTTAAAAATTAAGCTGAAAACTGAAATAGGGCGTGTTTGGGTGGTGTGGCTGTAAACTAAGCTGCAAACTGGCCAATGACCGGATCGCCGTTCACATGTTGACAATGCACTGCCAGTGGTAAAACTGCCAGAATTGTCCTCCTCCGCCCCTCGCCACCCCCAGTCAGTATCTGTCACACATTTGCAGGCGTTTGTGGGTACGTGCAGGGCAATAGAAAGTGAGTCTTCACTTGCATTCTCAGCTGAAGTAGAAGGAGGTGTTTTATCTCCCATCCTGCAAACAAATGTTTTTTTTTTTTCATTATTTAGTGCCAGGGTGGTCTGTCTGTCTGTCTTTCTTTCTTTCTTTCTTTCTTTCTTTCTTTCTTTCTTTCTTTCTTTTCCCTTTGTGGTTTTTCTTTTTGTATTTTTGTGCTCCCCCCACTATTAATTAAATCTAGGACCTCACATCTGGTCTACTACTGAGTCATACTGTATTTTCGTGTGTGTGTGTGTGTGTGTGTGTGTGTATGAAGCACGATAGTTTTTGCCAAATAAAACTTATTTGGAAAGGTGAGGGTGGGGCAGGAAAGGGTCAGAAGGAATACCTGTTCAAGAAGAGATAGAAACAAGAAGCAAGATTTGTGTCCAAGAGAGACTCCAGGCTTGAAGAACCTTCATGCTTTTTTTTTTTCAAGATAATTTTTTTAACTCCCTAAAATAGCCCCCAAGAGTGCTTTATTTGTGGGAAGTCTAGGTTTCATCCTGGCACCTCATAATCCTCTGAACACCACCAGGAATAGTGCCCAAGCATTGTACACTGTGGAGATGGCCCCAAACTAAAAAGATTAAAAATAAAGTAAGTAAGTAAAGGCCCTCCCGTTGATCATCGATTTGCTCGAGCGGGCCCAGTAACGTCTCCATTGGAGACTTTGTTGTTACTGTGTTTGGCATATCAAATACGTCACAATGAGCTTGCCAGGCTCTGCCATGTGGGTGAGATACTCCCGGTAGCTTGCCGGGCTCTCCGAGAGGGGCGGAGGAATCGAACTCACGCAGGCCATGTTGGCTGCGCGCAAGGCAAACGCCCTACCGCTGTGCTATGTATTGTATGAAAGGAGAGAAGGTTAGCACTCCCCTTGACAAGGATGGAAGAAAAAGATTAAGTAAGAAAATAATAAAACGACCCCCAAATATCATGCTGAAATACTACCCAGTCCTAAGTGTAGGAAAGTGTCCCTCCCTGTGCTCTGTGAATGGAATACACTTGCTCAGTAAGCCTTGTTTCAGCATGAATTGTAGCATTGTTGATTCCGAGTTCAGTGTTAAGTGAATCACCAATGGCCAGTGAATTTTTCCCTGGTAATGGAAGTTTCCAAAGAAAGTATAAATCCTCCAAACTGTGCAGGAGACTGCTCCAGAAAGTGCTGGTGCATCCAAACTGCATGTGCAAGAGAGAGAAGTGGTGAAGCCTGTGATTCACGAGACAGTGAGTGATTTTTAAATCCAGGGACAGTGTAGTTGTGGGGAAAAAAAGAAATTTTTGGTCACCTTGCCCAGAGTGGGAACAGTGTTAGTTCTCAGAATTCAAACAGTTATGTAGCATGAAAAAAGTAAAAAAAATGACCAAGGAAATGGCTCTGTGGTAGAGCTGTTGGCTTGTGTGTGAGGCTCAGGGTTCAATACCCAGCACTGTTAAAAATGAAACAAAATGAAATCTGCAGGCATGAGAGAGAGTGCAGTGGGTGATGTTTTTGCCTTACATGTGTCCAGCCATGGTTGGATCCCCAGAATCATGTGTGGTCCCTAAGCACCACCAGGAGTGGTCCCTGTCAGGAGTAAATTCACAGCCAACTGTGACCCTTCCCCACCAACCCAAAAATAAACCAAAACGCCCACTGGTAGGTGCTACTACAAATAAGGAAACTACAGAAGAATTTAAATACCTCCTGACTGTTGGGAGAACAGGGTCTATGGAGGGACAGACTTAGCACTAATCATCCTGCTTTGTCTTTAAAAGACATTGACAAATGAGCCTGTATAACACAAATGACATTGCAAATAGCATTTTAGTTAACAAAAATACTGTGGGCAGATGCTCCCAGGAACCTAATAGTTCCTGTATTTGCTGTAGGAGCAATAAATAGATCAGTATTTGCTAATTCAGTATATATGGCAGCCTTACATAACCACCATGAATAATGAGAATCCGCTATATTTTCAGCACCTTTATTAATCGTTAACACTAGCATTGATGTTGCCGCTCCATTCTTCAGTGGACGTGATGGATGGTAGAACGGAGCATAGAACTCAGTGCTCACGTCATCCAGTCTGTTCTCAGCAGTCACGCTTGAGGAAGCAACAAAAGAGCCAGCTGCCACTGGCTGTGTGTTTCCGAGCACAGCGCCAGGGCTTTCTCCTGAAAAGTATTTCAAAAGAAGAGTCCTACTGCTTTGTCTGGTGTTTTGTTCTTGTGCTACATTGCTACTGAAAATTTGGTGAGATTGCCCCCAAATCCAAAGGGGTCAGCACAGATGCAGAAACTAGCAAGTAATTAATATGCAGAGCTAATGTCAGGTTCCTTTGCTGTCATTTCCAAGACTGAAAATAACACAGATTATGCATCTTTTGAAAAGCTTTCTAACTTCTATCAAGGGTGCTGAGGTTACTGTTGAAGATGCTTTTTTGTTAGAAGATCCAAGAACACACTTCCAGCCTTAGAACTATTACTTCTCCTGAAAAGCTTCTTGCAAGAGGGATGGGCAGGAAAAGAAGAAACTAAGTATTGCTTATTCTGTAGCATTGACAATAAAAGAGCAGGCCTCAGATTGGTTTAGAACAAATGGAGAAGGACATAACCAACTGTATATTTTTTAAAAGATTCTCTGGCAATTCTGATTAATATCTGCAGACTGTTACTTGTCTGGAAGAAGTCAAAGAATTATTAAAGAAGTTTAATTGGATATGATAATGGATTTGACCGGATGAAAATGAAAGGAAAGTGACTGAGCATCTCAGAGAGAGTTGGAGGCAGGCCAAGCAAGGGATGGAAAGTTCTTAAAAGGGGAAAGAGCGTTCAGTCACCTGTGAAGCTGTTCAGTCAGACACGCACATCCCAGATTTGGTCTCCCACTGCTCTATGGGTCAGAGTGTGGGGCTTGAATTAGCACTTTGGAAAACTTTCTTGTGATTCTGCAGCTCTAGAAAACTGGTCTGAAGATCACAACTGTGAAAACCATTAGATCCAGAGCCCTTTACTTCATTGTGGAAGAGGACTCAGGCTCATTTTGTGTGAAAGTCCGGAGGCCAAATGAGTGCAGTATCTCTTTCCATGGTGCTACATAGTTGTACAATCTGTCATGTCTGCCTCATTAAGCACCACTCACTTTCCAAATTATCTCATTTCCTGTCTTAGAGAAACTTCTCATTTCTTACTCCCAGGTTTTAGGGTGCTAAAAGGGGATTGCATTGCTCAGAGATAGAGCACCTGCCTTGCAGGTGACAAAATTAGGTGACAAATTCAGTCCCAACCTTCAGCTTTGTCCCCTTGCTGAGTGGGACCTAGATTGCTTGGCACTGTACTTTGTCGCACTTTGTCTCCTCTGTCGCTGTATCAGAAGTGTGTGATTTCAGACATGGGTGTAACCAGGTATCTCCCAGTCATTGCAACAAGGAGGAAGGAAACATAGGGGAAGGGGGAGGGAAGGAAGAGGAAGGGGAGAAATTCGTAGTGGAATGGGTAAAAGTTGAAGCTTGCTGAAAAATTTGCTCCTTTGCCACATAGCTTACCTTCTCCCAAAAGTCTCGTGGCTTTCCCAGCATTTGTGTAACTTTTATTTTTAGGCAGTGTGATAAAGCTGGAGGAACAGAAGTCAGACCTGGAGAGGCAGCTAAAGACTCTAACAAAGCAGATAAAGGTGAGGTGTGGTCACAACCCGGAGTCGGGTGTCTTCCCCATCATTTTCCTATAACGTCCCCCTGGCTGGACTTTGGGAACCTTTGAAGAACGCCCTGATCACTTTCCCTATGCTGCCTGCTGATGGAGCATTTCTCCCGCACGGCCCTGGGACTGCCGTTTACTGTCCACAAAAAGTGAGCTCTGAAGCCCAAAGGCAAACCCCCTCTGCCTGATCCCGTAGTAAGAGAGTAATTAACTGTACCTTGTCAAAGTGAACCCCACCCCCAGCAACCCCACCCACTAGGTTTTCCTCAGTGATGTCGGAGGGTGGGGGGGAGGGGGGAGGGGCTGAGCCCCTGCCCCGCCAGGCGTCTGACTCGCAGGACTGTTCTCAGGAGGAGACTGAGGAGTGGAGGCGCTTTCAGGCCGACCTGCAGACTGCAGTGGTGGTAGCCAATGACATCAAGTGTGAGGCCCAACAGGAGCTCCGCACCGTGAAGAGGAGGCTGCTAGAGGAAGAGGAGAAGAATGCCCGGCTGCAGAAGGAGCTGGGGGACATGCAGAGTCTTGGCAGGTTGGTCCTGAGCAGAGATACTTGCATGGCGCTTGGCTTCTCGCTTCCTCTCTGCATGGGCTTCCATCCAGAGATGCCGTGCTTTCATGTCTTTTTATCCTGATTTTTCATTTCTTACCTAGACTCACTCTGCCATCACTTCCTCCGCACCAGGACTAGGAATAGTCTATTGAAGAGTCTCTCCAGGTGCCTCAGGCAATGAGAAAATCTTCACTTCCATATACATAACAGTTCTGACCAAGTTTTCATTCAGTTTTCAAGAATAAAAGTCACATCTCAAGATGCTTTCAGTTAGTGTTCATGAGGCAGTAGAACCACAACTTTTTAAAAATAAATTTATTTTTAAATTTTATTTTTATAAAGCTGTTCGCAATAATTTGTTAAATTCAATATTTCAACACCAATGCCACCACCATTACACCTTCCTACCACCATTATTTCAAATTTTCTCACCACCACCCAAATCTGCCACAAAGACAAGTGCTAAATAATTTATTTTGTATTGCTTGTTATGAATAATCCACTAAAAATGATTCAGAAGGTTTCCTTAGAGGCAAGTGTGTGAAAATTGTTGTATTTCATCTTGGAGCCATTAAGCCCCTATATAAGAGATCATAAATCAAGATCAGTTGCCTTTTCCTTTACACCCCATCCAATGTGGTGTGCTACTCCTTGGTATATCAGTGGCATAGATTAAGAGATGTCACGTGGCTGCTTTTGCTGCATGCTCCAGGAATTCTAAAATTTTAAATATGGTGCTAAAGCAGGAATTAAATTTTTAATTGGATGGTGACCAGAGGCTAGCCTCACTTTCACTTTCGTAGCAGCTACACATGTGGTCACGGCTGGAAGGTGGAAGCTGAGTTCACTCCCAGGGGTTGTAAATCACCACTAGATAAAGGACTCTGTTTTCCTGGCCCAGGGACATGTTTTTTGGCAGCAAACACCCAATACAGGCACCCACTTCATTAGAACAGGATGATCCCAGGTTTGACTGATGTGTGACTTTTGATAAGAACGAAGAAAGAGAAATTGTGCTAGCAGTTACCCCAGAGAACTTCCTAACAGTCAGATTTAAGGGACGGTATTACCATTACTATCTCAAGTGAACTCAAAGTTAATTACTATTTAAAATTCAAAGACTGGGGCTAGAGTGATAGACAGTACAGCGAGTAAACACTTGCCTTGCATGTGGCTGACCTGGTTTTGATCCCCAGCATCCTATATGGTCCCCCAAGCTTTGCCAGGAGTAATTCCTAAGTGCAGAGGTTGGAGTAACCCCTGAGCATCGCCAAAAATTTAATGACTTATAAACAAGATGGTCTGTCAGGCATAAATTGATATAGTATCGTCTTTCCCAGTTAGGAATAGATGTCATCTTTTGGGCTCTTAGATATTAGGAATTGTTTTAAAATTTTAAATGTCTTTCAAATATGAAGTATATTTTTTAATCAGATTTAGGTAAATCTGGATGCTGACTTATACAGTTTGCTCTTTCTGCATTGTTTCCAGGATCTGGGAGGGTTGATTGGCCAGTTTCTGAAGCATTGGGTCTGATGTATTACCATGAATTTCATAGTGTTAGAAGTGAGGTCTTCTCAGAATTTGGTTTTGCTTCCCTTACCAAACTTGGCTCCCACCAGTCCCTCATTCCTTTGTTTATGACTTTCAAATAAAAGCCTTTTGAGGAGGATATGGTAACACATGTAGCTCATTCCATGAATCACTCTGTTAGCCAAGATAATTATTTTACAGCTGCATCCACAGCCTATGGCTACCAAGGCACATGCATTAGGTTCAGGAAGTAGAATAGGAAAACTGGATTTTATAGTCTTCCCTGTGAAATGACTTTGCGGTCATTCTAATTTATTTCTGTTTGCTTTTGTTAATTTGCGTATTTGCCTTATATTGTATGGTTCTGGAAGAGGAACCAAATCATGTTTCTTCATCTATACATTATTTTAAAGGCAAGTGGTAAGATAAGTCTCTGTGGTGGGCCTGAATAAATTACTGTATGAGATGCTCCATTTCTTACATGTATTCCAGGGTACAGATCAGATCATCTGACTTAAATCTTAATCTCTTAGGAAACTTCTGCATGTATCTTGCCAGTTTAGGGTTCCATATGTTGTATTACATCTTCAAATTTAGGGTTACTTTTTTTTTAAAACATAATATGTTTCTCTTTTAATATTCCAGTGATTTGCAAACTACATCCCAAATCCAGCATTTAGTGCCTTGTCATAAAACATTTCAGAATTCTAGAACTGGTATCAATCCCGAATGTGGCATATTGTCAAGACCTGTTAGGATCAGAATATTTTTACCTATTGTTGCATAGAGCAGGGCATCAGACAACTGCCAGTGCTAGATTCTTGTCTGATTTGTGCTTCTTGAGCAAGCCACCCCCTCTAAAGAGTTGACTATCTGAAACTTACTTGCTAATGACTCAGCCACTGCCTCAACCTACCACATGAGCAAGACTTGAAACCAACTCACACCCTCAAAGGCCCTGAAGCAGCAAAGTGGTTCCATCTTGGCTGAATGAGTTCTTGACTGAAACTTGGTATGTCTCTGACAGTCATCTAGTGAGAACTCAAAAGTCATTTCGGTTCAGCCACAGCCAAAGAACTTGCAGAAAATTCTCTGAGGTCCTCCAAGTACCAAGAGAAGGTAAGAACACCTGATAAATAACTTGATGGTAATACGGGATAAACTGGTCCACATTCTCATTTTGAAATATGGATATTCCAGGGAGTAAAATTAAGGGAGGCAGGAGGGCACATGAAGTTCCTGGGTAAGAATAAGAATTAGCATTTAGGTCTAGCCATGTGCTGTTTAACTCAGTGATAAACCACACATCTGAGGCCCTGGATTTGATTTCCGGCACCACAGGAAAACACACACCACACCTAAGAATAAGCATTTACTAGTAAGAGCACAATAACTAAAGCAAAACAGGATGTTATTTAACTTAACATTTTAGATAATTCTAAAAGTTAGCTCATTAGTATTCATTTTTCAGGGTATTTTAATTTCAAGGTCAAAAATGCTGATGTTAAGATAACATGGGAAATGGCTCATCTCAGAGGAAATCTAACGCATCTTTAGTACCACCTAGCAGTGCTTCCTTCCCTCACCAAGCTCCTTCCTCTGTTAAATGAGGAGATAAAAGTAGATTCTATTTTAAGGTGCTAGTCTCTGCTGTTCTCTGAGACTGGTTGGTCAACTGACTTTTCATTGGTGGAAGGACCTCGCATTCAAGTGCTAACAGTCTCGTTTCTCCAGGTCAGTTACTGAGCCCTGGTGACCATAGTGGCACCTCAAATTGTAGCTGTTTACAGAACTCATATCCCTCTTCCAGGAGTTTTAACAAGCTGCTATGGTTTTTTGATGGATCTGAAAGTGATCTGATTTGCTGGAAAAGATAGCAAATTATTTTTTAAACTCTGCCTTCTCCCAGTTTCAAACGAGTTAGAGAAAGATAATGAAATCAGAGCATCGGTGTTTAAGCATCAAGTCTGAGAAGCTGAGCCCTGGGGCTGGCAGATAGTTTAGAGTAGGCAGCCTCACTAGCTTGATGGGCCACTCCGAGCCTTCTAACAAGACGTTGATAGTGATCCTTGACAAAAGCTCTCAATTAGGGGAAGACCTCTGCCTGTTTTCTTTCTCTTGCTCTGAAACAGTCAAGACCATAATTTTATCTTACTGGGTATTTACTCTGTTTTTTCCATATGATACCAATAAGGGCTGAAGCGATAGCACAGCGGTAGGGCGTTTGCCTTACAAGCGGCCAACATGGCCGACCTGAGATCGATTCCTCCACCCCTCTCGGAGAGCCTTGCAAGCTACCGAGAGTATCTCGCCCGCACGGCAGAGCCTGGCAAGCTACCTGTGATGTATTCGATATGCCAGACACAGTAACAACAAGTCTCACAATGGAGACGTTACTGGACCCGCTTGTTCAAATGGATGAATAACGGGAGGACCGTGACCGTGACCGATACCAATAAACGTTTGTGGAAAATGCCTTTGAAAAGAAATCATTGCAAACACTCAACATCTACGCCCAGTGACGTGTATTAGTTTCTAAAATTAAATGCCTCAGATTCAGAATGTGTTTAGCTTGTGCCTTTGGTTCTTGCATTGTCACCTCTGGCGTGAGCAGCATGGCAGCATAGCACTACCAGACTCTTCTGGAACTGGCTTTTAACTGTGTGTGTACAAATGTACTTTGCCCTAACATTAGTTGTGTGCACCTCTTGCACCCTTTGTGTTGTTCTTAGAGCTCTAATGTTCCACAGCTGCTTGCCCAATGTTCTGTGGTTGTTACTGAAGGGGAATGTGTGGGAGTTGGAGGTGTAGGTGCTGGGGACAGAGACATCCTTTCCATACCAAATTCCAGGCCCTGCTGCAGTGACCTGCCCTCATGCAGCTTCCTAAGCTGTTTCTGAACAGGTCACCCTGTGCCTGAGCCCCTGTGTTTGTTGGGACCTCAGACTTTTATCTGGTCTTTTGGTAGGCTCCTGTTACAAAAGCAATAATCTTGTTTTCATAGTTTCAGCATTTGTAGAATTAAATACAGAGCCTCTAGCTCTACAGAGCTTTCTGCTTCCCTGACCTCTGACCCGCACTGTGATACATTGGCTTTGAAAAATATAGACAAAAGCTTCCCTTAAACCCTTAGGATTTCTGTACCATCATTTTTTTAAGGTTTTTTTTTTCTCTTCATCTTTTTTTTTTTTTACCTTGATTGCATAATTCAAGCTTGTCTGAGCCACTCTCTAAATTTAGAGGGGCTTGATTTTGTTCTTAGTGGACATCTCTACTTTGTGTACACAGTTGTTTGATGATGGTCCAGTGAAGGAGGCCTTAGGTAGTAACTTTTTGAAGCCTGGTGTTTTTTCCTGTCTGAAGACTTATCACTTCCAAAAAATTGAAACAGGAGGAATTAAAGCATGGTGCCCCTACTCTAGCAACTAGTTTTCCCCTCTGGGCAGTATAAGCTGTTTTTTCATCTGTAAATAGGTCGTGTTGTGTTGAGTAATTCCTTTACCAGTCTTCCCCTCCCATTTCTTTTTCCACAGCTCCATGATTTCTGTCAGCTAGCAGAGCATTTGATGGAAGAAAGTCAGCCAAGCCCTTGCCATGATTGGAAACAACAGCCATTTCTGTATAAAGGGGAATAATGTAGAGGAGAAAGTACCTCTGTTTTATAAATAGCCAGATTCTTTCTTTCTAACATTCACTGTTACACACAGAGTGGTTGCCAACAAATTTTTCTGTCCCTTTTCCCCTACTCATTGTATGATGGTCAGAGATGATCCTTCCCTCCATTTTTTTTTTCTTGAGAAGATTCAAGTCTTTTATTTGGACCATAAAATGAAGTTGTTTTGGAAACACAAGGGGTACAAGTTGATTGTGAAAAAATTTTTATATCCAACTAGAATGTTCACAGCAGTCAGTCACATAGAATATTCTAATTCAAAGCAACCCAGGCTGTGCTTAGTTTACAGAGTTTATTTTTATGCTATTTTGGTGATTATGTTATTTGATAACCTTGGAGTTAACACTACCTAAGGCAAAATGGGAAGCTCTCTGTGAACTACCTTTTTGGGAGCCAGTTAGAAAGTACTTCCTTTATAACCAGGCTTGATCAAAACTTTTCAAGCCAGAAGTGAACTTTTATTACCTTACCTGAAGTAAGTTATCATTAAGATTTGATTTGATTTCCATAAATCTCTATTGTGCTCACCCTAAATAAATGTAAATATGTTGACAAACATGCACAGTAACAATGTTAATTGGAATCTAACTGAAAACTAATGAACGATCACTACAACAAAAGTCTCGTGAATAAAACTTACCCTGGAAATGTAGAAGACTTAAGACCTGGGCGTGTCACTTGATGGCAGAGCACATGATTTGTGTGCATTAGACCTGGGTTTGATCATCGGCACTACAGAAGAAGAAAAAAGAGGAAGAAAAGGCTTCAAAACAACACATGTATAATTCAAAGTATGGTTTTAAGTATTTGGAAGTGCTTATGTGTGTGAAGAATATCTGTCTCCAGGCTTCGACCTCCATTGGGCAAACCTGTTTCAGTGCTCTACTGAGGAGCTAGTGTGCAGCGTAGGTGACACTGGACTCCTAGATGCATTTTAAAGCAGATATGTCAGAATTATTATCTGCTATGAGGAAAGTCAGCAGCAGGAATTCTCTTTAACTCAGGGGGACTTTCAGGGTATCTGACTGGAGAACACAGAATCACTGGAAAAACTTAGCCACATGAGGAAGATAAGAGATGTTGGCACCTTCTCTGTAAAAGTAGTTTATATATTTGCTGGAATTGTCGAAGCAGGATAGGTATTTATATGATATACTATGAGATCTTTACCTCTAATCAAGAATTTCTAGGAGAATTTAGAATTCACCTGCCAGGTGTTTTCAAATATTAAAACATAACCTCAACTGATGCACAGCTGGTTTTGAACCCCATATTTTGATGAGTTTATTCTGGGTACTATTGAATATTTTTATATGTAATCATTTATAAAGTGCTAAGTAAAACAGTTGTTTAGAGGAATCTGTTGCCTGATTTTTAAATCATAAGCCACATTTTTTCCCAGAAACTTTTGCATTGTTTTATTTAAAATTTTTCTAGAACATATGAGCAACAGAAAAATATTGGAGTTTGAGGTAAAAGCAAGGTAGACTTTCAACTGTTCAAGTTGTGATAGGAGGCCAATTTTAAATATGAATGGGTTTTTAAATGATTTCATTGTTAGAACAGAACGACAAGAGGCAAATACTAATTTTGTGTTAGTTTAAAAGGAAAACTTGAATATAAAAACAAAGGAATTTGAAGTCTAGATTTGTTGATGTTTAAAAACAATTTGATGGCTTAATTAATGTACTGGAAATTTTAATTATCAAGTAATATTTAGATATACTGGTAACAAAATGGAGATATGTAAGAAAAACTGATCATTTTTTCCCCTCTCCATATCCACCAGTGGTAATGTTATTTTCTTTGCCTGTCTTTTTCCTACAATAAATGTACATGGGATTCATTTATATGAATTTTTCTGTTTACTCTGCACCTTTTCATTTCACTGAACAATGTATCAGGGGTATCCTTCTAGGTCAATATATGCAAATTTGACTTAGTAGCTACATAGTGTGACCTTGAATAGTCAATTATGTGATATTGGTGAACATCAGAGTTATATTTTATAGTGTTTTTTTTTCTTTCCAAATAATGCCATAATAGACTTTCTCTTCCTATAGTTATGTACACTTGTGTTTTTCTTTTTAAATTTTTTTGATTAATAGTTATGCTTTATTTGTGTTTTTATTTTGCTAGGGTGGGATAATAACTGTGATTGCTACATTAGAGAATATGCATGTTTTTAATTTTAATAGATACTGACAGTTTACTTACTTAAGAACTGTGGCTTTAATTCTTGCTGAAGGTGCCCATTTATACATAGCCTTATTAGCAGCTGTGGATAGTATTAATCTTTATTTTTGCCAACAAGAGAAGCAAAGATCCTAGTAAGTACTTAATTTGCATTAGTACTCTAATTCTTATTTCTCTGAGTATATTTTTTATGTTATATGTCTGTTGATCATTTGCATTTTTTTTTTTTTTAGAGACTTGCTGGTTCACCACTGTATTTGTTTTCACTGGACTCTTTTTCTCTTATCTGAGTATGGATTATAAGTTGATGTTTTATTGGGGATGTGTGTCTATTCCGTATATTGTCATATAAAGTCTGTTACTGTTTCCAGACTGGTTCTGGGGATCTCAGTGACAGTGTCACGGGGATTGCACTTGGCATAGGGGCAGTGGTGGAGATTCAATGGTGTCCTGTGAGCCTGGTGCCCACCTGTCATCCTTGGGTCCTCCAGTTTTATACAAATATTCTATCACTTTTTTTCCGTATTACACACACACACACACACAGATATTTAGTATATGTATTTTTTTTGTCGTGTGCATCTGATAGTTTTTCTTCAGATGGAGAACCAATCCGACCAGCACAACTTGTTACTAGAACATGCTTTTCCATTAGATTGCCTATATTTCCTTCTAAATTTAACCTTTGTTTAAAATCTTCTTCTTTCTTATGTTTTCTTGAAATTTATTATATTTTTCAAGACAGATTAGACAAGTGTCTAATTCTGTTACCTTCAATAAATTGACAAATCCCTGTTCCCTCTTGAGTGAAATTCTCGTCTTATACTATGAAGTATTTTTAGACAACAGGGAGTGTTTTCACCCATGACTTACAAGGAAGAATCTCAAGGGGCTTGAAAATTTATCTAATGTCAGCATCTGTAGACTGTACTTAAATCCAGTCATTTCCACCCACTACTCTAAAAATCTCAAATCTTAAAAGGCTGTCTAAAGCAGTTTTATGTTAAACATTCTGAGATAGCAGCTAGAGTACAGAATAGGTCCTTGGTGGTGGGGATGGGAGTGGTCGTCTGGATCCAATTTGTTCTGTTTGATGAACTGGAATGAAAAAGCCAGTTTCCTGGGCTGATAGTGCTTCACTGTTGCCTATTCGAGTTGAGACAGTTTCTTCCTGGAAGGCCTCTTCTTGCTGTTGTCCCTGTCCTCAGGATACGCCATCCCAGGCAAATCATGACTGATCCTTTGCCAGGATGGTCAGTGTACTCTTTTTGGGTTCCTCTAAGCATGATCCTCTAGTTCAGAGAACATTAGTACTTTTCCCTCCATAACTTCATTTTTGGGGGGGAATTGTATTGGAGATAAAATCTTAGAATGTCTTAGTATTTTCTTTTTATCTCACTCCCATCCCCTGTCCTCCCAGCCCCCCTAAACGCATGCAGACACACACACACACACGCGTGCATACATATATGTGCACATGTGCACATGCACACACTTTTCCTCTGTATAGCAGAAATTTCAGTTCAGTCTAAGGCAGGTAGGTATCATTCTGTATTTTCCAGTGTTGGTGCAGGATTTTTGTAATATATTCCTTTATTTTTTTGTGTTAGTATCTGTAATTAAAGGTTGTTCATATTGAAATTGTAATTTTATCTTGTGTTTATTGTATATATGTTTATATTGAAATTCAAAATCAAAAGCCAGAAGACACTGTGTGACACCCAAGAGACTAAGTACGTACTAATTTTTGTGTCATTTTCGAGAGACAACCCTTGTTTAGATTTTTTTTTCAGGCATAATACTAAGAAGTCTTTTTGAGGAAATTTCATTCCTGGTGAGGGCTTAGAATAAGCAAAAGCACCAATGCAAGACCGGAAAGGAACAGAAGGTTCAGGTGCTTAGTCTTTCCTCTGAAAGCAGGTGGTCAGAGAGGAGAGTAGGAACTCAGCCCTTGCCACAGAGGCCTGGAGCACCTGGTCCTTATAAGTAGGAGCCCAGAAGTGTTGGCCTCATGCCAGTGTTAACCCATGGCAGTCCGAGTGCTCTGAGACATTTCCCAAATGGAGTTCAAACCTCAGAGGATCTTAAAAATTGTAACCGCAAGTGCTTACATGCCCTTGAGCCAAAACACAGTCCAAAAAAGCATCCTGTATGATGAAGTAAATTCTATAGAAAATCAATATTTGCACTCTATTCTGTAATCACATAAGAAGTATGAGAGGTTAGAATGAAAGCTGTCTCCTTCTCAGGTGTGGGCCGCCATTCCCTAAAGGCAAATTATTGCAAATAATAACCCTTATTAAAATTAATGTTGACAGTATTTTTCTTGGCTATATTTTAAATAACTTTGAAAAATAATAATAATAATTTATTTTGATGCTCTTGTACGCCTCTCACATCCATTATAGAAAATTTGTGAAAGACATTTGGCCTTTGTCAAACTTTCATCTAAAACAAAGGATAATTACCTATAGAGTTTTTGTTAAAAATTGAACTAGATAGTATTTTAAAGATATGTGGCACATATATATGCCTTTTGCCTGCCATGTACTGTGGAGTTATTTCACACTTTCATTTAATTGAATTTATTATTGTCATGGTTTGACATGCTCAGAGCAGATAGAAAGTATGCCTCATTGTTGTCTTTTAAAACATGGTTCCTAAATACAAAATACCTATTTTCTCTTGAAGTAAAAGCAAATGATTAAACTGTAAGCAGGGGGAAGTACATTTGATTTATGAAAATACAGCATGTTTGAATATGATTGTATTTGTAAAAATAATGTAAGCTGTACTGCTTTGGATGATTTGGGATTTTTCAAGATTCAGTTGGTTGCATGTGATTTTTTTTTTTTTTTAGGTATTAGTCATAGTTTATTCTGATTCTCTTGTCATCTCTCCTTCTATCTCTGACCTGCATGTGATTTTTTAAGTTTAGAAATATATCATTGAACCTAGCAGCTGCCTTAGTGAGCAATGATTAGCCTTGCACAAATGGTTAATCAGTAGTGGTTCCTTCAAGTTTTTATATTTTTAATGAGTCTACTATATTTTGGCTACTCTTATTATTTATAGAATACTGCTGACCCTTGGACAGCAGAGGTGTAGGGATACCCCCCTTCATTTGAAATCTATGTGTAAGTTTTAACTTCACCTCAAACTTAGCTACTACTACTTAACTACCACCTACCAAACATCCTGCTGTTGACCTAAAGCCTTACTAATAGAGTTGTGTGATTTTTAATTTTTTTATATCTATGATTAAAAACCACTGTTGGGACTGAAGAGATAGAACAGGAAGTAAGTTCCTGGCCTTGCATTCTGCCAGTCCCAGTTCAAATTTCTGGTACCTCATATGTCACTCAAGCACCTCCATCAGTCACTTCCGAGCACAGAGCCAGGAATAGTCCCTGAGCTCTTCCAGGTGGGACCCCCCACCCCCAATTCCAGTCAAAACTGTAGGGAGAGAAAAACTACTGTCAATTGAATGTCAGTGATTTGGAATGAGAAGAAAGCCTCCCAGCCAGTGCTCAGGGGCCCGGGCACTCCCAGTGATGCTGGGGGAACTTAGTGGTATCTGTTGAATTATTTCTCTAACCCCTAATTGAATCTTCTTATTTACTGTTTGATATTTTGAATTATTGAAAAATTTGATGGTGATACCTTAGAATGTAGGATTCTTTATTTTAGTCTTCATAAATTTCCAAGGGATGGAAATAAAAATATATGTCTAAAGTGATCTCCTTTGAGCATGCTCTGCATATCTACAGGACCCTCATAGCAAATCATATCAATGGACTAATGAGAAAGAGGCCAGCTTTGCTTCTGACCTTGAGAACAGCAGGGACAGAATTTGTTCTTTTTTTCTGCAAAAATCTAACTTAATTTTGTTCTCTTTCTGTGTTTTCTCCACCTTTTTTCATACTGTATAGCACAATGGAGAAGATGCAAAAACCAACTCTGGTCAATTAAAATTTAAACCAAACCCCCCTACCTATTTTTGAAATACCTGATTTATTTATTTTCGAATCCAGCTCAATTGTTTTCTACCTTAACCCCATCGAACATGATGTGCTACTCTTGGTACATCAATGAAGTGGAGTGTATAAAATCTTGCACGGCTGTGAATGTGGCTGCGCACTAAAGGGATTCTAAGATGTGGTGCAGGAGGCAGTTCATCGGCATGACCACCAAGCTCCAGGAAAGACAGGGAAACAGGGAGTTCACCGATTCCCAACTCCAAGAAAGCCTGGAGATTTTGGTCACAAAAGCTGCATACCTGAGTGTTTCAGCAGATTCATTCTCATGCGTGAGGGGCTCTGATTTTTTTTTTTTCTTATTGGATCACACCCGGCGATGCACAGGGGTTACTCTTGGTTCTGCACTCCAGAATTACCCGTGGCAGTGCTCAGGGGACCATATGGGATGCTGGGAATCGAACCCAGGTAGGCCGCGTGCAAGGCAAACACCCTACCCGCTGTGCTATTGCTCCAGCCTCTTTTTTTCTAAAAAACTGATGTTTACTGGTTTTTCTTTTACCCAAAAGAAGAGTCTATAGAGATCAGCATATAGAGGAGTGTGATTTAAGCATTTTGACTTTTTCCACATAAATACTTTATTCACATTTG